GGTAGGGGGAGAGAGAATGGGGGGTGTCTGCTCAACCAGGCTCCTACAGATATGTTTAGAGAAAAGGGAGTCGACCTAGAGAGGATTAGAAGTATCTTTTTGGGAGAGATTCTGCTCCCATTCCTTAACATCCTCCTCATCCCTGCAGGAAGGATGGCTTTCTGGCCTTCCAAACTAGTCGTTATAAACTCCATTACTACGAGACGCCCACTGGGATCAAGGTTGTCATGAATACTGACTTGGGCGTGGGGCCCATCCGAGATGTGCTGCATCACATTTACAGTGCGGTCAGTACCAGCCCCTGGGACCCTTCCCCCAAAACCCTTCAACCTATGCCATGGCCATATAGAGCCCCAAGACTCCTTCAGATTCCCTGCTAGGATCCTACTGTATTGTATTGTATCTCTATTGAAATCAGAGTTTTCAACACTCCCACCACCAGTTTCTCCTCAAGGAGGCATACCTCCCAGCCCTTGATCCTTTTGTGTTCACACATCCCTGAGGTTATACTAGGTTTGGAGTTGGAAACAAGAAGTGTCTAAAGCCTGGCTCTAACACCCTCCCTCTCCATAGCTGTACGTGGAGCTGGTGGTGAAGAATCCCCTGTGCCCGCTGGGACAAACGGTACAAAGTGAGCTCTTCCGCTCCCGACTGGACTCCTACGTCCGCTCTCTGCCCTTTTTCTCTGCCAGGGCTGGCTGAAGGAAGCACCGTACCTCACCCCTCAGGAGAATCTCTGTGTGCCTGGGCCCTTCCTAACCTGTTTCACCTGAGGGCCCCCACTGCCTGCCCCTCCAACCCCTCGAGCCCCCAGGAAGCCTACACTGGTGCCCTCCCCGTCCAAACCAGGCTCTCTCTCCAGTTGTATCCTCTACCAGATGCCACTGGAAGTACAGAATAAACTCTTTGTCACTATCTGCGTCTTGAGCTGTCAGTTTGGGTGGTTGGTCAGAGACCCTGCCCCACTCATGGACTCATGAGGGGTGGCCGCATCCCCTGAGCCTGCACAGAGGCTTTGAACCACGAGTTTCTCAACAGCAACACTACTGACATTTCGGGCTGGATATTTCATTGTTTGGGGGTGGGGGTGCTGTCCTGTGCTTTGTTCTGGGCGCCACTCACTGGATGCTGGTAGCACAGCCCTCTGATAGTCAAAAATGTCTTCAGAGCTTGTCAAGTGTCCCCTGGGGGACTAAATCATCTCCTGTTGAGAATTACTGAGCTGGAGGAAGCCCGACCCTGCCTCGGGTCCCAGAGAGTACCAAGAACCACCCTCCCGACTTCTGCTCTCCGGCTCCTCGGAGTGCACCCCATATGCCTGCGGTAGAGCCTCGGAAGGCGGGGCTTATGCAGATGTCGGCGGTTTAACCGGGAGGCAGGCGGGTTTAAGCAGATAAGGGGGCGGTCCCTGCATGTTGATCAGCTGGGCCCGCTGCGGACGCGTCTGGGAACCTAGTGGGTCCCACTGCGGTTTGGGGAGGCACCTCTCTTCCGCCCCACTGGTCCCTAGGTCCCTACCCTCCTTGGACCGCCCTCCACCGTTACCCTCGTTCATTCCCCCCCCCGCCCCGCGCCAGTGCCCGGTAAAACG